AAAGAGGGACAAAAGCAACTTTTGTTTCTGTTTAAAATAACTGAGACCAGCTTGTGTCCTGACATGAATGTGATTAGGGAAAAGTAGATATTGGGGAAAGTGTAAATCTTTATTAGTTCATCTAATCTTTTCATCTATAGCTAGTATGAGCTGAAAATTAGACGGTTTTGATAATTTTTGTCATCAGAACAGAGGTTGAAGTATGTTTTAGTATGAAGCTATCATACTAGAAGAGGTTTGGTTTTCCTTTTTAATATGCTTAAACAAAGAAAAGTAGCCAAGACACAAATAAAAACAGTCTGTAAATGGTTATACCTTACACTGTTATTTTGCTATCTCAAACAGCTTTATATTGCTAGTGTAATGTAAGTTGTGCATTAAGAACTCAGTATCAGGTACTTCTGTGGCACTTCTGATCCTCTGTAAGTGATGGTGGACACCATTCTTTCTGATTCTTCATAGATTAGAATCTGTTATCGACATGGCAGCTGATGGGACTTAATCCACCTGTCAGTGTGCATACAACTTCCACTGACAGACGTGACTGCAAAGATGATGGGGGGCCTTATGAGGATACCATATTCTCTGAGAATTTATTTCTATACCCAGTAGGAATCTAAATAGCAGAGAGTTTTAAATTCATTTTATAAAGGATTTTTATTAATACTATTTTTATATTTTGCATTATTAAAATACATAGAAATATTTTAATGACAGAAAAACCGTGAAATATTTTCTTTTTCTGTGCTTCTAAATTCAGCATGCTTTTTCCTGATGCACCATCTTATCCATAGATAGCTTATTCTTTCATTCCACAGTAGATCAACAGTTTGATTTACAGTGACCATTAGTGCAATTTCTAGATTGGTTTGCAGAGGCATTAGGCAAGCTGGTGGCTGTCCCATTTTTTTTGCAAGAGATTGTGTGATAATTTTACTTTCTGCTTTCTCATACCAGTATAGTAAGGAATGTTGACAGAGTGAGTGTGGTCACATTGCTCTGCCACACGTCAGTTGAGTGCTATGGTGCCATACTAGCACGATTTCTGTCTGAAACTGTGTAATTGAACTTTGCTATAATACCACATTTAAGGTTTCATGGCTCACAGAATGTATGCATCATACAAGATTTATGTTCAGTTGATGGGACAGTTTAAAATTTGTATTTTCTGAAAGCAAGGATGTTTTTATTCTTGTGATCCTAAAACTTGTAGATATTTGAAAACAACCAACCTCTTTTTTACTCATGAACAGGACTGAAAGTAGTAAAAGCAGATACCAGCATGCAGACCCCCGTCAGCTTTGTCAAGAGGATACTGATGCTTTGTGGAATGAACTGGCTTTTTTCAAAAGGGAACACAAAAAGCTGTTGATTGAAAAGTGAGTTTTTCTTAAATGTTGTTTACATAAAGAAATAATTCTGCTGTTTTTCTGCAGGTAGAGCTTTGCAGGCCGCATAAGAGGAATTCCTTGCAAAGTTCCAAAATAAAACCATGTTCTACCAAAAGCAGAAAAGGAAAACATCAGCTCTTTTTTTTTTTTCTTTTTTTTCCCCCCCTCCTCTTAAATCAGTGACAAGTTACAAGTTTGCTAGCACTAACAGAAACTGTATTCCATGATCTAGGGATTGTGTTAATTAATGTGGCTCTCATCTGTTGGAGGTGTCGCTCTTCATTAGCCTGTATTTTACACACTGCCGTGCTTCATTTTTGGAATGAGGTGGTGAGGGGATAACCTAGCCAGCCATCCTTGTTTGATCTCTGTGATACATACGCAATGCAGAATGCCTCAGCTCTCTTGGTTCCCTGCCCTGTCCTGCTAATCCCAGCTGAGCTCATTATGGTGTAGCCTTGCTGCTACTCCTGGAGCCAGAGCTGTCCAAGCTAATTACTGGTAGCAGCAGAGCTGCCTGTTAAGGGTCTGGTGTGGATCTGCTAACATGGTCCTTGGTAGTGACCTGCAAAAAGCACGAGGGAGTTGCTCTCTTTCTTGCTGTGCACAGCCTGTCCTTTGGGTTTAGTGCTGATCCCTTCACACAGCTCTTTTAGCTGTAGTAAGTGTAAAACTTGGTGAAGGAAACTCTTACTTTAGAAAACATACAGTTTGCTGCTTTGATCTCATAATTCATAGGCTATTATACTCAGCCAGGCAAAGTAAAAAAATGTCCTTTTATACTAGACAAAAAGAAGTTAGTATGGTATAATTAGCTCTTTGCTGCTATTTAACACTTTCTGTAAGTCAAGTTGATCTTTTTTTAATTTAAGAATCAAGACATCGTAGGAACTTTTATTCAGACTTTGTTTTTGTCAGCATTAAAGAAAATGTGTTTTCCCAATGGGTCACAATGTAAAGCGATTTTGTGGAGATACCATGAAGGCTGCTAGCACAGAATTTCAACACCAGCAAATTGTTTTATAGTATCTAAGTCCTTGTGTTGCCCATAAGCTGCTTTAGTGTATTACATACAGTATTGCCAGTAGCTGTGTTGCATGGCGTATTCTTATATCCGCCAGTTACAATTGTGTGCCTGTTCCTGTCACTTTATCATCACCTCTTTGCTGTTTTGAAACTATGACAACAAATTATCACATGTACTACTTTTGTTTATTTTTATTTTTATGTAGGAGGGAGCATTTTCCTGCCATACATGTAATTACGGTTGTAATTCTCCTTCCATCACTAATCAACACATACACTACAGGCAACAGTAACTCAGGAGCAATAGGATAAGTTTCTCCTTTTCACAGAAAGCCGTAAAAGAGAGATTGCTTATGTATTGTGCACACCCTGAAGGTTGGTACAGTTGGGCTGTTTTTTCTAGAGCTCCTGTGCAGTCACATTTATGGGGAACATTCTTATGCCTGGTACATTGCAGATCAGTGACCTTGACTAAAGTGTGGTGAAATGGCATAAGCAAACAGCTGAGCTGTTCAAAATACTGAATTTTTAAGTCAAAGTGAGTTCTTGAAATTCTGCATAGTACTTAGTAAGAAGTCAGTGCACCATTATGATCATTAAGGTGAACTCCTTATGTGGCTTTAGGTGCTTTTTACTCCTTATGGGCAGTGTGGCTTATTGTTAGTTGAAATAAGGAAGGAATGAAAACCTAACTCCTATGTTTTTTGTATCTATCTTGAATGTCTGTGTCTGATAATGACTGTCTTTAATTTGTTGAGGCAAGTCAGCATTTCAAGATCTAAGCTCCTTTTCTTAAGAAAGTCAATACTAAATTTAGTGTGCTTTTTAGATCTGTGGATAGAGCTTCTGTATATTGTATGTATTCTTTCTTAAGCTCTATGGATAGAATAAATACATAGATAGATAGATAAATGACATGATCTGCAGACTTGTACCAATTACTTCTATGTGTGATTTTACGAACAGTGTAAGTAAATCAGGTTAGTCCATAGTTTTTGTGGATGTACTTAATTTGATAGACCCTACTGATTGTTAGCTTAAGTTGATTTAGAACAAGTATAAGCCAAATCCAATGTAGCATTGTTTAAAAAACAGTGTCTGTGTAGGGATTTTATTTTGGTTTCAGTCTGTTTTAACTTTAAATATGTGCAATTTCTGTGACTATGCCAGAGAGTGAATGTTAGAAAAACATTATTTGTTGTTGTTTATTTGTTTTACCTGTAAGGAAGATCTTCTGTCCCCTCCTTCCTCCCTTCTTTCTAGGGGTAGAACAGTGATGTAAAATGTCTTTAACTTCCACGTCCATTGCTCTGAGAATAGATGGAAAGTAAATAAGTATAGGTTAAAATCAAGGAAAGCCTGTAGATGCATGTCTCAGGCTCCAAAATGCAGTCTTTACTAATACTAGCACACTGTACACAATCAGTTTGTAAGTTAAGAAATCTGTTTTTAAGTCAGGAAAAACTGAAGTTGCTTGGGAAGTCACTTGTTCTGTTGGTGCATAAGTCCAAGTTCTGTTGAAGTTGGTCGAAAGAATTTGTGTCAAGTCCTTTAATAAAGTTTTCCTCTCATCACGGGCAGGGATTGCTTTGACTTTCATGTAAGCTACTAAACATTATGCACCTTTCAAGCTGGACAGTAACACACAGACAAATACAGGGTTTAGAACTTAAATTTAAGGACCTCTTTTTTAAAATATAAGAAGTTTTCTGTTTTCATGAAGTTCAGAATGCCTAATGTCAGAGTTATTTTTTGGAGAATGTTGATGCAGAATGTGTGGCATTGTTACTACCATTTTTTACTTTTTGATTAGTAAAGAATAGTATATGCATGTTGTATTACTTTGCAATTAGTAATGAAATATGTTTCAGAGCCATTGGCTGCACCCTCTCCACGATTAATGATGTATAAATTTGAGCCGTTTGCATATAAAAGACAGTATTTCCGTATTGTTACAATCCCATACTCTATTAGTTAAATGTAATGATCAATAAACTGTGATTGTTAGGTGTGTGCGCAATGCTTTACGCGTATATTTCTCTTGAATGTCCCAACATTTCCCTGGAATCATTATTCTATTAATACCATTTATCTTTATACTAAGTGCATTACAGAATAATTATTCTCTGACTTTACAGAAACTGTTTTTAGTAATAGTTTTATCTGAATTCTTTGTTAAGCCTCCTCCCCGCTGTTGACTCTTCCACAAAGAATATCAGATTATATTCCGCGATTTATATGATGTGGATTTAAAGCTGCATTTTTAGTTTTATGAGTTATAAAATGTCATTTTTAAAAGTCTTTATTATTAAAACAAAACAAAAACAAAAGTTCCAAAATTTCAGTTCACTTTGAGATCTGAACCAGTAGCTAAGAAAATAGTCTATCTTTTAAGCCTTTACAACTCATCGTGTTAAGAAATTCCATAGCAGCTACCAGCTAAACACATGGCAAAATTAAAGAATTACAAACAAGACCAAAAAGAGTTAGTTGAAATAAATTTGCTAAGTATTCCTTGAAGTGTTTATTAATGCTAATGACCAAGTGAAAATAATTCCACAGCTCTGCTAGGATGTCCCAGTTTGGTCTTCTCATATGGGTCATTTTCCCTATGAAGTATGCAATACCACTGTTATGCTGCAGTCATTTCCTGTTAAGTACCATGTTACTGCAGGCTACAGAAGCAGGTAGTGTACTCATGTACATGTTCTGTGTTAAGAAAAACATGGGATTTGATCACTTTTTCTCCCCTTTAAGCAAACAGAAAAACATAGCAGTATTCAAATAGTAATTAACATTTAGTTGATGAGGAGAGTGACCCATGCTTGTATAAATACATTTTTATTTAAGCTGCATGAAACTGATGAAAACTTGCAAGAGAAAAATCTAAGAACATAAAAAATTTGAAATGTCTTTTATTCAGCTGTGCAACACCAGTGCTTTCAGATTCAGCATCTTGCAGCTGCATAGAACTGGAGTATCTTCAATGAAAATAGGCATAGCATTTTACAGACAGATAGATACATTTTTATATATAAAAAATT